AGGCTAAGGCTGTTGCGTGCAGCCTGTCCTTCTATGAAATTCACTCTCATCTACGTCTGTAGTCATCTTTTTGTATATATATATCAACATCTCATTTTGTTGACATTTTGTTTTTGATATGTATTCCTTGGAATTTTGTTCACCTAATTCACCCATTTGAGGTTAAAGTATGTTTGCTGCCTCTCTCTGTAATCTTAGAGGATTCATTTAGATATTGATTGCAACAATGAAATTCTTGAACTTCTTTTACTAAGAGATACCTTGTCATCACTTCAGCTTGTTGTTGAAGTCATAGAAGAAGTTCAGTAAAATGAATAAAAGTTAGGAAGTATATTTTCTAATGCATTGCCTAATCATCAAATGAATAAAAAATAAAGCAGTAGATAATCCTTTGTTTCAGAAATTGACTTCTTACTTTTAATTTTTAGTTTTAATTTTATTCATTATTAGCCTTGAAGTATATGATGATGTACAATTAGTTATGGAACTATAGATGAAATGGTTGGCTTGTTAATTTTTAGTTTTAATTTTATTCATTATTATTCCAAACAAATCACTATCAATCACATGGAGGCCTAAGTTTGGTCGGCTTGTTACACTAATTTTGTGATTGTCAAGTTGTTCTTTTTCCTTTTCTTTATTTTTTGCTGCATTGGAAATGCATTTTGACACTACCCTTATTTTAGCTAGAAAATAGATTATGGTCCTTTGATCCCTTATTTGCAATTTTTGTTTTTCAAAATATTATAGAGTAAATTTCAGTTATTTTGTCATTTTTCTGGACAAGTTTAGAATTTTTGGTTGGTGGTTAACTCTGGATTCCTGGCTTCCTGCTATTAATTTCTAGATCTGTTGAGGATCCTGTTAAAGACAACAGTTGAGAGTAGCCTTCGGTTTTACTGAGAGAAGAAGAAGGTTAGTCAATACCTAATGCACTTGTAATTTTGTTAATTTGTGCTGATTTGTTCCTAATTCAAATGTAGTTTAATTTTGTTGGTATTTGCTTCTTCTTTTTCTTTCTTTCTTTTCGATTATAGTTTCTTTCTTTAATGCTATTGATCTAGTGTCTTTTGTTGGTTGGTCCTTTTGCTATGCAACCAAACAATGGTTGTATTTTGCTTAGTTGAATAATAATTTGAATTTAGGCCATGTATCTTTGATTAGCAGCTATTACTGTTTGACTGATTCCTGGATAGTTCAAACCCAAAATACAATTTTAGCTTAAGAATAGATTAAGGAGCAATTTATTAATGCTAGTCAACCTCGTTGGTTCTCTTGTCTTAAATTTTCATAATAGAATTCTAACTAATAAAACTATCCTACACCTTAATGGCATGCTTCCTCATGGGAAAAATGCATCTCTCTTCTTCTCCCTTTTCGTCTTCAATGATAACAAACCAAAACAAAAGAAAAACAAAAAAACCCATATTTAAATGAGACTAAGTTATTGAGTTATTCCATAAATTATCCAAATGAGACAGATAGGATGTCCGGCTTCCGGATCACCGAGCCGTATTTAAGATTTTGTGTTGTAGCAGCAAAATAATAGTGTTATATTGTTAACATAATTCCTAATTGCGTCTTTAGCTTGTCTTGTCTTTGGTTACAGAGAAAGCTGCAGGAAATGAAAATATTCAAATTGGAATTTTTTTTTTTTTTTTTAGCTGAGTCAGCCTCTTCTTTTTCATGAAATCTGATAATTGCATACTAAGGCTAACAAGCTTGTAAAATAACAAATAGGCTTTAGTATTCTTAATGTCCTGATGAATTAACAATTTTTTTTTTTTGAATGGATGAGATCTGAAAATGTTAATTCAAGAGTGAGAGGTGTTGATCCCATTAAAAGCAAATTTGATTACCTTCAGCTAACCTGTGCCTTATCTCTATTCTTAAATTGTAGCAAAGTACTATGAGAATCTAGGTGTATCTATGTCGTTTGTCCAGGACAAGAAACATGTTTAAAATTGAGTTATGAATGTACAAAACAACATTTTTCATTCTTTTGGCACATTTGATCTGAGTTATCGTCTTCAATTTTTTTTTTGTTTTTTGTTTTCATTGGTTTTAATTTGTTGGTTACAGTTTTATCATTTTATCACTATGGATAAAAAAAAAATTATCCAAATGTTTACTTCAATTTTTTTTTTCTATTTTCATTGGTTTTAATTTGTTGGTTACAATTTTATCATTTTATCACTATGGATAAAAAAAAAAAATTATCCAAATGTTTATTTAAATTTTTTTTTTTTGTTTTCTCTGTTTTCATTGGTTTTAATTTGTTGGTTACAGTTTTATCGTTTTATCATAATGGATAAAACATGGATAAACTCAAAAGAAACCTCAAGTCCAAATTGCATAGAAGGAATTTTGAATTTTGTAAATTTTACATTTGAGAAATCTGCAAAAGCTGGGAAAATATTGTGCCCTTGTAGGAGATGTGCAAACTTAATTTGGTGTAGTAAAGAAGAGGTTGTTGATCATTTAGTAGAAAAGGGTTTTCTTAGAAAGTATAACTAGACTTCTCATTAGAAGGATTCTGCAGTGGTGAATTCTAGTGAAAATCGAAATGAAGAGGAAATAGCTTTTAATCATGATATGAGAGG